TATATATATATATATATTTATATATATTATTGCACTGTGCTTCGTTTGCAAAACAATCTGTAGTCAAATGTTCCAAACAAACATAATCCTCCAGTGAGATGCCATTAAAAATAAACTACGCAATTGTTTCTGATGCTTCCTTCTGGTTTCAGATGCAAACAGGACGAGTCAAAGCGAACCTTCCTTTACTCTTCTGTTTGTCCTGTTGTCAGCAGTAGCTCAAGTATGTGTCAGAAACTAAACGGTCATCTGTATACTGTATCCAGTGTAGACAGCATCAGCAATTGGAATGGGTTCTATTTGCGTTTTCTATTTATTGGTGTACTCCAGGTGGCAACTGTTAAGTGACTTAGTGCAAGTGGGCGTGAACCGTGATGTGATGATGTAAAACCTGAATTTGCACTGCGCAGACCAATCTATGTATGACATTAAAGTATCGCAAAAGCTACAGTATAGGGAGCAGACATCTCCATATGCTTTCCAATCGCTTTTGCGGTATTTGATGTCATACACGATCAGTCTGCGTAGTGTGCATTCTGTCACCATTTAAACTGCCCTGTCAATCATCTTGTCACAGTTAATGTCATCCATTTCGTTTAATTTGATTTCCTACATTATCTGAGAGAAATGAAGAGGCATGTTGATCTGCCAGTCACGGGTCAATCATGCCGAGAACTCTCCTCCTGTGTTTGCATAATAATGCATTTGAAAGTTAATGACCAAACATATCTTTATAAAAGATCACAGTGTTGTTGCAGATGAAATATAATGCAGATAACATTGAATAAATATTTTTCATCAGGTTAGATATTGATTATCACTCAAACCCCTTTCTCTACCTGTCTGTCGATATCACATATCCACCATGTTTGTAGTTTAACACTTTTGATGTATATTTGCAGTTCCAATCGAATCCTCGATCAACACACAATGGGTTGTGGGCAATATGTGCACGGATCTGCACGTTTAATGGAAAATACTAATTTCAACATACTATTTGGTACTAATGTCTTACCCTTGAGTCAGTCACATGCAAATGGCCGTCGGACGTCACAGATTCCACAACCTTCAAATGAGCCATGGAGCTTGATTAAAGAAATGTTATTTTTATACTGGGGAGGGCATTTTCAAGGTGTTTTAAGGGTACAAAAATCTCTGTCAAACAATCAAGGAAAATTTGATTTGTCATTTAAGTACTGTTTAAGTTTTAAGGATGCTTTTTTTTGTTGTTGTTTTTTTTAGAAAATGTTGAAATCACTGAATTGTAGAGCTGTTATGAAAAGGGAAGGCTAATACAGTCAGTAGTAGAGTTTCTCCAAAAAATATAAACCACAACAACTGGGAGATCATTTATCTGTGTGTGGTTTTGTCGGATGGGGATGCGTGTACATGTGCTGGGGTTTAATGAACTGGGGTTCTGCAGCAAACAACCTCACTCAGTGGGGCTCAGTTGTGGCTTTAGGACACCTTGTAAGGAAGGCTCAGACCCCGAATCCAACATTATTGGCCTAATCCCAGATCAAGCTTTAAGGGAGCAATTTTCTCCTCGGGAGATTTGACCCCAAGTCCCAGTAGACTCAACTATTTCTTGACTTCATAGAATTTACTGAAGAATGAAAGTGTGGGCATCACGAAGGCTCTGCTCAGGTGGATAGTTAGTAGGTTGGCATGATGTGCACATATACTAGTTATGCTATAAATTCAACATAATTGAAATATATACACATCACCCACAAATGGAATGTTTAAAAACAATAAACTATTGAAAAATATTATGAATCAAAAAATATGTCTTTATATCTATAATTGAATGCAAATATAAAAGCCAGTCTATTTACATTTTCACTATAAAACATATTAAATAAATATATGTACATTTGTGAATACTTATGCCTGTTAGTCTATATGTGTGGATAACAAGATTTGTAAGATTTGTCAATGTGTTGTCCCTTCAACCCCTTCGTAACACATGCTCCTGTGGTTATGGACATCACTTTTGAAAAAGAGACAATAGAATGATATGCATCAATTACAACTTTATAACCCTCCACGACAATATAATTTAAGCTTTATACTAAATTATCCTGCTATATCCATCCAGCTTTTTGCCATTTTCTTTCTTTCTTTCTTTCTTTCTTTCTTTCTTTCTTTCTCTATTCCATTCCATTCTATTTAATTCTGCAGTGAATAAATAGATTAATGGATTATTACTGATAATAGATAATGGATTCATTATTGCGCAGTGTATACATGGAGTGGATTATCCACTTTAATGAATTGGTTGAATACATACATAGTACAAAGGTATGCATGTAAATTCTGCATGGCAGAAATTTTTGGCAGAATCATTTGTTTGCTTCATGCATAATAATAAAGGCTCTGCGATCAAATGAGATGTGTATCAAAACAAACATCCCCTTCACTTTAGATGCTAATGCGCGTGCAAAGCCTCAGTGGTTCCCTATGGAGGCGATTGTAAAGTGTTTCCTTGTAATTTAAGACCTTTTAATAGATTTAAATGACATTTTATTGACGACACCCACCACTTGGGCTACTACGTTATTCAATTTTTGTTCACGTTGTCTAGATCTGAATATGGTTGGTAGTGACCTCTCAGGCATGTTATTATTCGTTGTGAATGTTTGCTGTTGAACATGAATGTGAGAGTTTGTGGCCTTGTAAAGAGGCGAGGCTAAAGAACAAAGCTTTTGTAACGTTATTGTGCTTGTAAGCAAGAGCAGGAGAAACCATTAGTATCAATCTTAACATTTAGTAAATACCGTGTCGCCCATGTTGTGATGCGAAAGTGGAGTCAAGGCTATCGTGCGCTCGGGTCTAGAGAGGAGAGTGTATCATTGTATTCTTTCGAGCACTCCCTTCATGAAGCTGTCCTCTCAGCCTCTCATATGACGGCACGAGTTTGTGTTTTCAAAGATCTTGATGTGCTCCAGTTGATCTTTCAACTAACCCATTGTAATTCTACCTTTGTAAAAGGAAAGACCAGCACTAAAACACCCTGTAATGGATCCAGTGTGAAGCCCTTTCAAGTATGATGCTGAATTTGTAATGACTATGTATCTTCACCGATTGATTTGTTAACATACTCGTTTTTTTTTTAGTATTTCCATGATTTATCTGAGAGTCACATCAGTTCCCTTGTTGCATTCTGTTTCTAAGGAGGACTAGAATATGGAGCTGTTATGGAGAAAACAAATTGTTGAAATATAGATAACATGCTCCTCATAAATGGCCTCAAGAGCAAACACCTATGGATGTTGCCAACAATACTCTGTAATGAGCTGCTGTTTGGGTGTGTTTGGTGGTTTGAAGAGCCTTGGCGAATAAACTAGGGGGGAAGATGATGACGGAGCAGAGGGATGTATGGGGGGGGGGGCGCTGTTTCAGCCGCTCTGAAGAGGACTTTGCCCAGATGGATTGTGCTCGACAGAATGTCATGGATATAATTCACACAGGCAGCTTAATCAGGGTGTTTCCAGGAAACAACCTGCCAAAGAGAGGCAGCGATTGTTTGGTGGCCTCTGACCCCAGGGCCCATTATAGATTGTCATAAATTCTTTTTGCCCATTTTATATGGTGGGGGTTTTAGGATTTGGGTCTAGGTTTTGCAGAAGCTATTCTATAAGGGCCACCCAGTGCTTAATACGTCAGTGGGAGAGATATGGATCTGCTAGAACAAAATGAGCCACAAACAATATTTCACATTTCTACAGCCAATGCTTCTCATTTAAAACCAGAGAAGAATAAGAATAAGAATGAAAAATAATATGGTTAATTTGTGTTTTTTTTTTTTTTTTTTTTTTTTTTATTTTAAATAACAAAATTGTTAACTTTGGTTTTTAGTTTTTGTTTTAATTGTAATTTTAGTCATTTTATTATGTGCTTTTATCATTTTTATTATAGTTTTTTTGTTTGTGTGAGTATTCATCATTTTATTAGTTATTGTTTTTAAACATTATATATAGTATTTATTAATTTTTATTTCAGTTTTAAAATACATCAACTTCGCGCTGTCGATCGCCGGATCGGCTTTCACCGTGGACGAAGCGGAGTCCAGCCCGGGGTCGCCACATGTGGTTGCCTCAGGCATCACAATATGGTAAGGGACGTAACATGTCCATCACACGCTTGAGGAATTCGGCCAATCACAACGCACTGGATAGGCTGGCCAATCAGAGCACACCTCGCTTTTTTAGAACGATGAGTTTGTAAAAATCTACGTGTTTCAGAAAGGCGGGGC